GTCTTCCAAGGACACTTCCTCTCCCAGGAGACTCTAAGGCAAGCATGTCGAACTCGCAGCCCACGGGCCACATGCCTTGTTTATTGGGCCTGTGTTAGTCTTTGAGTTTGACATGCTTGCTCTAAGAATTAGATGTACGGAAAAGATCTGTGATCATGTTGGGGAGAGCAGGAGAATGACAATTTTAGGAATTAAGAGACCAAAGCAAGGATCTAGAAGCAGGCAGTGTGAGAAGCCAGAGTAGAGAGGAGATGGCCATCCTTCATACACGGGCTGAGCAAAGAGAAAGAGCAGCTACGTGGGGAGAGTGAAAGTGTCCTTTGGGGAGCTGATGATGTTATGTCAAGTGTTCCCAGTCACTTCCAAACGTGTGTGGCTTCTAAGAGATGCTTCCTGAAAAGTGTTTCAAAGGTGCCTGCCCCTCACTGAGCAATTCCAAAGACTCCCACCTACCTGGTTTTCTCTCACTCACCTGGGTGGCTCCAACATGGATTCTCTCTCTCCACCACCTGCAGCTCTTGTCCTTGCTCCATCTTGAAGATCACTTTTGTTTTGGTAACTGCACCCCCTGTTCATGGGAAACAACACAGAACTGGGAACAAGGTGCTAGGGACAAACAACTACCTCACAACTCAGGTCTGCCTCCTTGAGTCTCAGGGCCTGTAAAGGATGACAAACAGTCTTTAGAACAGAAAGACTCTCCCCCTCCATTTGGGAGGTAGAAGCATAAACACACTATCTGACCCCCAAAGAGGATGACGAATCTTTGATCACTAAAACTCAGGGCCAAACGTACTATAGCTTCAGAATGTCCACAGCTTTCACAAGTCTTCAGGAAGGGCACTATTCACGCATTCTGAGTTACAATGAGAAGTTACCACCCACTGTCCTTACCCACTGAGAGGAGGTTTCTAAAGTTCTCCAACATCACATCCCAATATAAGGTCCTCTGATCACAGTCAAGCAGCTGCCACTCCTCTGAGGTGAAGTCCACAGCCACATCCTGGAATGTCACTGATCCCTGAAATAGCACATTGATCTTCAAACTAAAGTGTGCATCACTTGGGACTTCCAAGAGAATCACGTCAGCTTCTTATCGTCATATCATGTTCACTGTTGAGTTTCCAGAAAGTTATATATGATAACTACTGCATGTTTGATTCAGAAATAGACTGTGATAAAAACAAAAATCATACTTAAAATATTCAACTAGTGCCAGGACAACTCAATGAGGACAAGTATAGTCTTATTAACAGATGTTGTTGGGACAACTGGATATACACAGGCAAAAGAATGAAGTTGGATAACTCTTCCACACACACCTCAGATCATATACAAAAATAAACGAAAATGGGTGAGAGACTTAAATGTAAGAGCTAAAACTACAATTCTTAGAAGAAAAGATAGGAGTAAATCTTCGTGAACTTGGATTAGCCAGTGGTTTCTTAAATATGACAGAAAAAGTGCAAGTGACAGAAGAAAAAATAGGTAAGTTTTAATTCATCAAAATTTTAAAAGGACACCATCAAGAAAATGAAAAGATGACACAGAATGGGAGGAAATATTTCCAAACCATATATCTGATGAGAGATTTATATCTAGAATATAAAAAGAATTCTTATGACGCAACAATAAAGAGATAACCCAATTTAAAAATAGGCAAAGGATTTGAACATTTCTACAAAGACATATATAATCCATAAGCACATGAAAAGATGCTCAACATCATTAGTCATTAGTAAAATGCAAATCAAAACCACAACGAGTATCACTTCACCCCCAATAGAATGGCTAAAGTTAAAGACAGACAATGACAGGTGTTAGCAATGATGTGAAGAAACTGGAACTCTCATACATTGCTGGTGGGATTGTAAAATTGTGCAGCCAGTAAGGAAAGCAGCTTGGCAGTCCCGCAAAAGTTAACCATAGAGTTACCACATGATCCAACAATTCCTCATAGGCATATACCCAAGAGAATTAAAAATACATGCCCACACAAAAACCTATGCACACTGTTCAAGCAGAATTATTAATAGCCAAAAAGTGAATTCAATATGGATATTCATAAATTAATGGATTGATAAACAATATAGCATCGTGTGCAATAAAAAGCTACCTATAAAATAGAAGAAAATACTGTGCGAGGTGAAAGAAGTTAGTTACAAATGATCACATATTGTATGATTCCATTTGTATACAATGTTCAGAATAGGTGAATCCATAGAAAAAGTAAGTAACTAGCCTACCTGTGTAGGTTTAAGTACACTATATCATGTTCACACAATGACAAAATTGCCTAATGGCACATTTCTCAGTCATAAGTGGTGCATGACTATAAAGTTAAACAGATTAATCCATACTTTCCTATATAACAGAATAGCCAATACGAAAAAAATATGATGGAAAATATCTATACTATTCTTACTAGCCATATATATATACTAGAGTCCTGGTGCACAAAAATTTGTGCACTTGGGGGGGGAGAGGGGGTCTCTCAGCCCGGCCTGTGCCCTCTCGCAGTCTGGGACCCCTCAGGAGATAACAACCTGCTGGCTTAGGCCCGCTCCCGGGTGGCAGAGGGCAGGCCCAATCCCTAGGTGCAGCCCCTGGTCGGGCTCAGAGCAGGGCTGATTGGGGA